CATTAAAGGGGAAGCTGGTTTATACCAACGTGTTCACATGGTCGATTACACAGTACCCGTCACATTGAGGCAAACAGATGGCTGATTTTCAGTCTCAGTTCGGCTGTAATGTATTTTTCCATATCAAGCGACTTCTTCGCTGTGAGCAGCGGTGATGGTGTGGCTGTTAAAAATGGCCGCCCGCAGTTACTCTTGCATCGCTTAGCGGTACGAGGTTAAACCTTTCTCAGAAGGTTTCAGAAATGTGTTATTCACGTTTCGGTTGTGTAAACTGACTTCATGTTTTGTTCTTTGTCCTTAGTCTGAACACCTCACGCTTAGTGTGCTAACTACCTTACGTGATTTAGCGCTGCGATGAGTATATTGATGCAGCGAACAGTCGGCCTTGATTAAAATGTCGGCAGAGAAGCCGATCGAAACTGGAGAGCTCGAAGCTTTGCTCTTGTTTTTGTTTGCTTGTCGTGAGGAGGAGAAAAGACAAGCCTGTATCAAAGCTAAAGAGTTCTAAGAAGCTGAAAAAGGCACGAAATGATTCCTGAGCATTTTAAAGCCTCATTTATTTTTCTAGTCTGATTTGATTAAGATTTTGTCCTGCGACAGCAAGAGGATTTCAATAACATTGATCTGTTGTTACAGCAGTCCCTCTGTTGGCTGTAGCTCTGATTTCGTGATGTCCTTTTGCGCTTAAAGCTATTAATAAATCACAAGGTGACCTTTTTCATAGTTCTATTTAAGAGCAGTTAACATTTTAGTGTAGTTCACTGTTTTTGTGATATTACTAATCTTGTCGTTGCCCTTAAGACTCCCTATTGATCGTGCAATTAGTTATGTAATCGACATTATTTTTGTGTGTTTATTCGTTATGGTTAATTGTTTTTAGCAAGCACGTAGTCAGTCAGGTAGCATCAGCTACCTGGAAGCCCTTTTTAACCCTGAAGGGCAGCAAAATTCTTTAACACGAAATATCAAAATGTAATAATGGTGTATGGTTATACTGGTATAACATACTGGTGTGAGTAAATGGATTTAACTTTGTGGTTACTGTAATGCATCCAAAACTTGTGACAACGAATAGCTCTGTAGCTAATACAAAGGAATCCATTGAAACTGATGTAGTAGTAGTAGTAGTAGCAGTAATTATTACTTTATTGTTATTATTGCTATTACTATTAGTATTATTATTATTATTATTATTATTATTAGCAGTAGTAGTAGTATTAGTACTATTATTGTATCAATGTATAACTACCTCTGTTGGAAAAACTGATAGCAGTCCAGAAAAATGGTAAGTTGATAGTCTTTCTTGGACACTCTTGTAAAACAAGACCAAAGCCTGTACAGTACTGAGGTTGAGTTAGCTTACATTTTTTTTCAAGGATACAGAGATAAAGCATCACTGAACCATTAACCACAACAGACTGGATGGCTATTTTTGTCATGTATTGCTGGGGCTGTCTGTCTCTAAGAGAATGACGGAAGCAGCGCTGTTGCTAGAGGGGGTACAGCAGCATACTGGAGAGTGGCATGCAGTCTGAGTCATCAGTGATAAAGCACCTCTCCGGAGCCTGCTAGCATCACTCTGCCAACACTGCACTGAGCTGCTTGCAAGGAGGCACTGGAATGTTGGTGGGATGCTGCATTTCAAGGAACAGACAGACTGAAAATTGAGCACAATTTGAAACAAATTGTTGTTCTGTCAATATGTTTGGCTGTTAATGGGGGAGGGGGGGGGGACTGCAGCATTTGTGTTATACTGGGATTCGCGAAAAGAATCAAAGAATTAGCACTACTAATCTTTTGCCTTCTTTACACAGACAGGAGCAGCGGTACTCTGCCACCTCGAGATTAACACTGCCAGCCGCCAAACTGAAGGCCCACTTAATTCCAACTATGGTAAAACCCTTTACAGTGAATGTGTTTCAGGCTGTAAATGTGTTTTAACAGTTGATGATAGTTATCCTATGCACATGCTCTTTGCACATTAACAGGAATACACAAGTCAGCTTGTACTGTTTGGTATTAGAAAATTTCTCTTCCTCTTCAAATGCTGGCAGCAAGTGTTTATGTATCTGTCTTTCTCTCTCCCCCTGTAGCCTCCTCCTCTCCGTCATCGCTCAATGCGCATCTTTGTGAATGATGATCGGCATGTCATGGCAAAACACTCGGCCATCTACCCTACCCAGGAAGAGCTGGAGGCGGTGCAGAATATGGTGTCCCACACTGAGCGTGCCCTCAAGGCTGTTTCTGATTGGCTGGATGAGCAGGAGCGGGGCATTGCAAAGCCGAATCCCACAGACTCTGATGGGGATGGAGAGAAAGAGAGGTGAGTGAAGGGAGCTCATGTTTCTCGTCCTGGCTTTTATCAGTGTTGCATCCGATCGTAGATGCTCTCTCCATCACACCCAAGAATTCCTCCTTTTTTGTTTGTGTATATGTGTAGTTTGGGCAAGGGGCATCCAAGTTTATTCTGATGTGGTTGATTAAATGTGCAAAAACACTTCAGTAGTTAGTATTTGTGCTGTAATCTAGTGCTCACGCATAACCTGTTTGTATGCTGTCATTTGATTGCCCTTTAATGTAATTGAATGCTCTTATGCTTTGTGGCACAGTGAACCTAAGACAGTGGAGCAGCACACACGCACCCTGCGTGGAGTGATGAGGGTTGGCCTGGTGGCCAAAGGTCTGCTGCTGAAGGGGGATTTGGCTCTGGAACTAGTGCTGCTTTGTAAGGACAAGCCCACAAGCACATTGCTAAGGAAAGTGGCTGAGAACCTCAGTGTGCAACTTAAGGTAAGACAATTCAAGTATTTATGAAGTAACTTGTTTAAACAAAAATTTTATGAGTTTTAAGTTTAGTTTCAGTAATTACCCAAAATGCAAAAAGGTTGTTTTTGTGGATGGTATGCAGTGGTGTTATACTTGATTCTGTAATACCCTGGTGCTGGGCAAGTTAAAAGCACCATGAACTACCATAGTACTTTGTATTTTAATTTAATTTTAATTTCGTCAAACGTCATTTTAAGTGGTTCCCACTGAAAGCAAGGAAGTCCTTGTTAAACTTCTGTTCTCTCTGCTCATGTCCCTCCAGCTTATTACGGAAGATAATTATGAAGTCACTCAAAGTATCCGTGATGCTGCCATTGTGATCAGAAACACCAAGCAGCCCCCGCTCACTCTTACCATCCATCTTACTTCACCTGTCGTCAGGGAGGAGGCCGAAAAGAGGGCTGCTGGAGGTTGGTTTGCTTGTCTGGGCCAGTGGGCGCACCCCCTTGAAAGCCAATAAATGGGCCGAAGTAGTACAAGGATTAGTTAGATATTGTTTATTGGGCCTTCAATGGAGCTAGGGGATGTTGTGTGGAGCAGTCATGTACAGAAAGCTTGCTATGTTTATAGCTGCCTAGAGCCTCATAGTTCCATGTAATGTGATGTACATTTTTGATGGCCCAATACACAGTAAATGAGTTAATGAGAAAAAAAAAAAACAATAAGGAAAGGATGAGGAGGGGGTGAAAAAGCAAACATTCCTTTCCCTTTAAGTGCAACCAAAGAGTTCCATATAATGAAGGCTTACTGAGAATTAAGAAGAAAAAAAAAAACACAAACCTTGTTGTTTGCATGTGTTATATATACTGAGAAATTGAACAGTTTGCATTGCAGCAAAAATGAGTAGCGGGGATTGCTAAGAGCTCTGGTTACTAGGACCAGCAGTAGTCTATTGACTGTGCTTTTCTTCCAGTTAAGAAAGCGAAGGGGTTGTAGATAACGCTATGGCTGGACGTTAGTTCGCCCCGATTAGTCAACAAAAATATCTACAACTGTCTATAGGAGACAAGACGCATATCAAGCCGCAAGGAGTTTGGGATTTATAAGGATCATGACATTTGCTGCGCTCAAAACTGATAACTGGGTGCTTAATCTAAGGAATAGCTTAATTTAAAGCCTAGCCCTATCTGTGACCCCACTTTTAGACGAGCCTGTTTTGGGGCCTGAGAAGCCATCAGTTTTGCTGCAGTGTGGACTCGTTTTTTTTTGGTAGTACCTTATGTGCATCTTGCTACTTTTGCCTGTGGTTCAAAATCTGATTCTCTCTGTCAAGCCTTCTAGTTTGTCAATTTTAGGGACGCTGGACCTTTGACCAACTGGACGCTCTCTGTCTCGGAAGGGGCAAGGCAGTACACCCAGAAAAAAAAAGAGATAAAAGGGGGTGAAGGGGAGGGGTTCTGCCCCCCATGGCACATCGTTACACTCAGCCATCCTTAACTCCACTGAGGCATCATGTTATGCTGTTAGTCAAACACCATGAAACCCTCCATTAAACTGACATCCTCTCACTCCCATGTACCCCCCGCATGCTTCCATTACCTTTAAGAACCCTTATGGATACACAAGTCACTGGGAGTGATGGGGTGGACACAACGTGTTTCTAGACTAAGGAACTTTTAACTAGTCTTTTGTCTTCTCTTGTGGGTTCCGGTGTTCTGGTGTGTGTGTTAAATTTTATTTTTTATTATTATTTTTATTATTATTATTTTTAAAGCGCCCATTAGCACAGGGAGGGTTGGTTTCTTGAGTAGTTTCCAGTGGGGGAGGTCCCCCTCCCCTTCCCCCCTGCTGCCTGTGGTAGGGGTCACTTGGCTGCCTCCTCCCCCTGGCCGTGAGACAGAAAAAAACCCCTTGGTCAAACTGTACCTTGTCTTCTTATCCCACCCGCCAATAGAAACGCTATCAGTCAACGATCCCCCGGATGTACTGGACAGGCAGAAATGCCTGGCTGCCTTGGCGTCTCTTCGCCACGCCAAGTGGTTCCAGGTTTGCATCTTGTCTTTATTTGTCTTCTAGTAGTTGAGTTATATTTGTTGTTTTTTTTAATGTACTTCTATGCTGCTATCAATTTATTTTCATTCACATTTTGGGTGTGAATATTTGTCAGGCTTTCTTTTATTCTGTATCGCCTGCTGTAAAATGTTGCGTTTTGAGGAAAATCTTTATTTTCATAGCAGTGCCTAACAAAGAATTGATGTCACTGTAAAGATAGTGTGACTGACCTCTTAGACATCTCATCCTAACTGTCATTTTACATCAAATGGTCTGTATATTTGACAAATATCCCATCTTTGTTGCTAATATCAGGTTTGCAATATCTCAGGTGCAATATTTCTGTTAAGATAAATTTCTCACCTTTTTACTTGGATGTTGAAGTATTTTTAATACAAGCTTCTTGTAGAACACTTGCTTTTCCATATCACCTGACTGTGATTTTAATGCTGGTGCAAACCACACATTTCCTAGCTGTTAGTTGTATGCAGTCTGGCATCTCTGGTTCTGTAATCTTGTAATTGCTCTACCTTTTGTAGTCTGTTTTTTGTCCTTTGCTATGTAACTCCAACCTCACTGTGCTCTGTCTGTGCTGTAGCTCTTTGTGACCCAAAAAGGGAATATTGCACCTTGGCAGATGTTTTTTGTTCCTTCTTTGTGAAGCTAATGCTCTTCGCTTTCTGAAAACCTAAGAAAGAGACTTCAGTTGCACATATTGAAAATAGTTTGGGAATTGGAAGTTTTAGCACAACTAACATTTACCATCTGCAGATTCCTTTGGTCAGTATGTTAAAGCTACTCAAAACTGCAGACTCGTTTGGTCTCTCGCTGCCTGAACCGCATAAATTTTTTGTTATTTTTGATATGAACTGCCATAAATGTGATTTGTTCATTCAATCAAATAACATGGTTGTGTTTTTTGTTTTGTTTTTTTTTGTTATTTAACAAGTGTATCACTTCACTAAACATTATTAATGCTAGCTATACTATTCCCCTTTGATGTCTCATATGTTGTGTACTGTGGTGTTGGTTAATGGGTGCAAGTTTCTAAGCCGCGGCCTGCTCCGTCTCCTTCCTGCTTGTGTCTTTAGGCCAGAGCCAATGGGCTGCGCTCCTGTGTGATCGTCATCCGGATCCTGAGGGACCTTTGCGCACGTGTCCCCACCTGGGCCCCACTTAGGGGATGGGTGAGTTGCCAGCTTGCTTTCATTGACCTTGAACTGTTTGTTTCATGGTTACCTAGTAGATTAAGTGTGTTGTGAGGATTCACTTATTTATATTGTCACAGATTCTTTTGTGCTTCAGCAGCAATATCTTAACTTTGTACTATGAATAAAGTGTGTTCTGAGTGTCAGAAGTGCCCAAATTAAGATTTAGTTCAAGTCAGTGAATCAATGGGGCAAAAATGTTTTAAAATGCCACATAATAAAACCACTGATGTTTAGCATTTTCTACCTTTTTATGAAGCCTTTGGAGCTTTTGTGCGAGAAGGCCATTGGTACAGGAAACCGACCAATGGGAGCAGGCGAGGCTCTTCGAAGAGTTCTTGAGTGTTTAGCTTCAGGAATCCTGATGGCAGGTAATTGAGTGTTTCAGCCTCCCTATAAATAGAGAATAAGTTATTGACTGTACAAAAAATTTTGGTCCTGATTCCTTTTTGTTGGGTTATTTCATAGATGGTTCAGGCATTTCTGACCCCTGTGAGAAGGAGGCAACTGATGCTATTGGTCACATGGATGAACAGCAACGAGAGGACATTACCCAGAGTGCTCAGGTAATGTACTTTATTTATGGTCCACATTTTCACTCGCTGTGTGCGTGTGATTTCTGAATGCAGTCTAAAGGTTTTTCTTGCCCTTGTTTTTGATGGACAGCATGCCTTGAGGCTTTCAGCATTTGGGCAGCTTCACAAAGTGCTTGGCATGGACCCTCTGCCTTCTAAAATGCCCAGGAAACCAAAGAGTGAAACTCCCATTGATTACACAGGTTTGTTCAGTGATCCTCAGTGTCACTTATTTGTGGTTAGCAATAATGTATGTTTTTAATTTAATAAATTTTTTAAACATTTACAGTTCAGATTCCACCAAGTACGACCTATGCTCCACCCATGAAACGGCCCATAGAGGAGGAGGAGGGCGGTGATGACAAGAGTCCTAACAAAAAGAAGAAGAAACTGCAAAAGAAATGTAACTACATCTCATTCAATATAGTCATTTTGTTTGGCCAGAGAATCTCTGTGGAGATTCTGTAGAATCTCTCTGTTTGCACTGAAAGCTTATGGTTAGTAACACTAAAGTTTGTTGATATATTGCAGCTCCAGAGGAGAAGTCAGAGCCTCCTCAGGCTATGAATGCTCTGATGCGACTGAACCAACTTAAGCCTGGACTCCAGTATAAGCTCATTTCTCAGACTGGCCCAGTTCATGTGCCAGTTTTCACCATGGCTGTGGAGGTTGATGGGAAAACTTATGAAGCCTCTGGCCCCTCTAAACGTACTGCCAAGCTACATGTAGCAGTTAAGGTATGTGTTCTGTCTGTTCTGGTTTAGAATGTTTGACAATTCCTAGTGCAATTTTAATAAATTGATTTTAGATCAAATTATTGATCCTTAGTGATGATACAAAGCTTGTGTGATGTATATGTAGTAGTGGATGTTTGAGCAACTACAAAAGACAGTTCAAAACTGACATAGTGAACCTTTTGCCTGTAAATGGAGGTAACTCTGCCAAGACCGTGGCTCCACAAACATTAACCCATTGATTTTTGTGATAGGTCTTGCAGGACATGGGTCTCCCCACAGGGGTGGAGCAAAAGGTTGCCGAACCAGTAAAGGCCGATGATATGGCAGCCACTGCAGAGGAGGACATGAAGCAGGCGGACACGCTGACTGAAACGGATGCCCCGTCTGCTGTGACTGCAAACTCTGAGCCTGCCGAGAGTGCTGAGGTAATAATGATCATGTTAAAATGGAGTGGGTATGCAGACTGGAAAAGTGTTAGCTAATTGAGATGGAAAAACATTGATCAGTAATGTTCTATGAAACATTTTAAATAAGGATACATTTAGAAATGTGTACATTTTACTAGAAATGTCCTGAGCCAGATAGTGTATAACCTCTGGCCCTGTTGTTCATTTAGTCTCTTAAATGGTGTGGCAGTTGAAAACGAATCCCGTCAGAATAGGGCTTAAGCATGTAAAAGTTGCACACTCATTGTATTTGCTTCAGTTTTGGTAATTGCTTTAGTGAAAGGTGACTCACTTAACACTGACACAAGTAGCTTTTGGCCTTTTGCATTGGATCTTTAGTATTTTACATTACAAACACACACGTACTGCTCTACCCTCCCAAATATACTTGCTGGTAGAATTTTTCTCATAGATGAGAGGCATTAGGTCAATATTTTGTGCTGTCTTCTTTCAGAGTGCTCGGCAGCAGGGCCCTATTCTGACCAAACATGGCAAGAACCCGGTGATGGAGCTGAATGAAAAACGTAGAGGCCTCAAATATGAACTTATCTCTGAGACGGGTGGCAGCCATGACAAACGCTTTGTCATGGAGGTGAGACCATGTTTTATTTGAACTGGAACAGAACCATTTTCCCTACACACTTGTGTGATGTGTGTAATATAACAGCTCTATTCTATTTCAGCTGATTTCATATTTGTGCATAGTACTAGCTAAGCAGCTTAGTGGACCTTAAAATATTTTTCTCACTGTAAATCTAGTTGTTTAGATGGGTCTTTACTTAAGCAACTGATAAAGCTGTCTCAGTAATGAACTAGTAGCTGGTGAGTGTATCTGCTTATCTAATACTTGGTGCATCTGTTTTTTCCTAAACATTATGTCTGCTTTTCAGGTGGAGATAGATGGACAGAAGTTCCAGGGAACAGGCTCCAATAAGAAGGTGGCGAAGGCATATGCAGCTCTGGCTGCTTTAGAGAAGCTGTTCCCAGAAGGCTCGGTCTCTGAGGCTGCCAAGAAAAAGAAATCCATGGTAATGGCATCCTATTTTTTTTTTTTTTTGTTTTTGTACCATGTAGTGATTATTCAGTGAAACATCTGAAGGTTTTATGTGATTAAGGTGGGCCAGTGAGACTCAAGCATATTTGCTTTCTCTGGTTTAAACAGGCTTCTGTGTGGTATTGCCACGTAAGTTATTGGAGGTAGTGGAATCGTATATCAGAGCTGGCAGGACTACTTTTTTCTAGGCACACAGGTTTTAGCTGGTTAGGTCTTGATCCTTAAACCTTTTGAGGAACCACCCATCCCCCTGAGTTATTAATAGTACTTTTGTAAATGATGGCTTGTTTGTCAGTTAAGCTGCTTAGTAATAGCAGGGATGCTGCTCATTTTAAGCCTTTTTGTCTTGTTTAGATAACTGAATGTTTTCTTACGGTGATTGGGTGTGTCTTTCAGAACGCTCCAGGGTTTGGAATGATGAGTGGACCAGTTGATGACCCAGCAGCCAATCCCAGAGGTCGGGGAAGAGGGCGGGGTCGAGGCAGGGGCAGAGGTTTTAATAATAGTGGAGGATATAATCAAGGTATGTAACTTATCTAATGACAAACTTGCAAAAAACATGAATTATTCTGAATTAACAGGTGTGTTGATGCAAAAGTATTTAGTGTTTTAAAGTAAAAACACATTTAACAGCTTGAGTTAATTATCTTTTCTCCTTTCTTTTAGGTGGTTATGGAAGTTATGGATATGGGAACAATGCTAATTCTGGCTACAGTGAGTATTTTTCAGTTTCACCCTGGGTATATTGAGACCCCCTTCATCTCCCATAGTGTTTTGTTTTTTGTTTTTTTTTTAAAACACTATTGTCATGAGTACTTTGGGAGCTAATTTTACTCCCAGTTTTACTCCCACTATATTCAATGTTTATTGCATTTAATTTTTTTTTTTCAAACATTATTCTCAACAAATAGACTTACGTTTGTGCGTAGCAGGAAGTCGGTTATTATTTGAGGTTTGAGAACTGAGGTTTAGACATGGAGGACTGGTGTCTTATTTTATTTATTTATTTATTTATTTATTTTTTAATGTCTACACTGAAAAAGCCAATGTGAAATGTTTTCCCTTCAAGGTTGAATAATTTTACATTTCTCTGCTTTGTTAAGCCATGGACTGCAAACTCTTGACTTTTTAACATTTCCTTGATGAACAAACACGTTGCCAACCCCTAGTGCCATTTTCTGAGGAAAGATCTCCTTGAGGGTGACAGGAGCAGAGAAATCTAAAAAAAAATAAATAAAAAAAAGACTAGGTTCTTAAACTGACTCAGTTTGATGGCTGATTGAAACCATTGACTTTTGCCATTTTTATGGCAACACAAAAAGCATCTAATACTGTGCTTCTCTGCTCTGTCTCACTCTTTAGGTGACTTTGTCTCAGACTGCTATGGCTACAACGAGTTTGCGACAGATGTCTGATGTTTTCAATAAACACGCAAAGTGTGAATGACAAAAGATACAGGAAAGAAATTGTAGTAGGCAATATGAACGCGATCCATGACAAATTATCAGTGTACTTCAGTCCCCTCACAATTTCCTTACCCACACCCAAAAAAACCTGCACCCAACAGTCGTCCAGCACCGTGGATTCCACTGGGACTGAGCTGCCGCTTCTCCCTGCAGAAAACGGAGGAACACACAAAAAAATTACCCTTTGCTATTGTCTGCTGAACCTGTCAATCACACAGCTGCAGAGTTTTGAAGCTCTCTGACTGGGTGGTGACTTCAAAGACACAGATAAGAGGACGATGTGGACACATTGATCGTGCTCTATTGTTCAACCTTTGGATCTGTGCTGAGGCACTGAATCACTGTTTTTAAGCCTTTCCTTTCCCCCTTTTTTGTTAAATTAATTTTGTAATTTTAGGATGATTTTGTTGCTTCCACACATTGCCATACATTTTAAATTCAGTGTTGTACTTTTTTTTTTTTTAAACTGGTCATTTTGTGGTGTATGTTCACCAAACTCTATGAATTATGAACATTTTTCATGTATCATATTATGAAATGCTGTGAAACCATACAAAGGAGACCTAATACCTGCATTTACAGTGTTTGTTTATGGAGATGTTTTGTAACTTTCGTTTCATTTTTTTTCGTTTTTTAAATAAACATGAGGTCCCTTTTAAAGCCATGTGCGATTTATGTAAGCTCTTTAATTATTTGTGAATGTTAGACTTAGGATTTTTAGCTTTTTGGCCATATTGGCTATGATTTCTGAATTTCTTGGGGCTGCTATTATTTAAATAATCTTTTAATATTGTGTGTTGTTCTGCAGCTCAATTAGAACTTTTTAAATTGGTATCCACAAAGTTAGTGCTCATGCCACAACTTATTTGTAATTGTGTATGTAACTCTTTGAGAACAATCCAACCAGGACAAGACAATGCTCTAGTCTTAGTGTCTGATCACTGCCCCCTGTGAACTATACTTAGATTGCTGAAGCAAGCCACTTTCATTGTGGGCCAGAAACCACCAAGTTAATCCATGTTCTTTCTGAAACATCTACACATCAAGGACTTAATAGCTTTGGTGTTGTTCGTAAGACAGTTGTCTTTGGCTACATGGATTAGAATCGGGGGTTTTTGTATCTAAATTCATTGAAATAATATATAGCTTTATTATAAACTGTTTTGGCTGAATTACTGTAGCACAACAAAGGTGAATAAACGTTTATTTTATAGGGCAATACAGTGATGAACAGGATATAATAGGGCAATACAGTGATGAACAGGATATAAAACATGACCCACTGCTAAAGATATGCAAAGATCATTCATTGGTTATGCTTATGTATTGCCTGAGAAATGTGATGACAGAACATTTTTCTTTTGTAGAAGCTCACTGCTATAATACTCCTGTCTAATGGGCCAAGTTACTTTGTTGTTCTTCAGATTACTACAATAATGGAGGAGCCAATGGAGGATCAGCAGCTCCAGCTCCTGGAACTGCAGGCCCAGTGTCTAACACTCCAAGTGGTGGAGCTCCAGGAACAGGTGGTTTTACCTCATATTACCAGAGTGGTGGAGGCTACTCAGCCCCACCTTCAGTGACCAAATCCCCTGGTAAGAAGCCTCCAATGCACCAGGGCACCAAGCCTCCAGGAACAGGTGCAGCTCCAGGGTCCTATCAGGCCACCCCACCACCAGGGCAAGGCTCCTACAACCAGTACAGCCAGGGCTACGGGCAGGGGAAGAAGAACTTCAGTCAAGCTCAAGGTGGCGCTGGAGGTGGGGGTTATGGCAACTACAGCACGGCGTACCCGTCCCAGGTGACTGGCGGAACGGGGGGTCAGGACTATAGCTATGAAGGTAAGATGTTTCCGTAGGGATTAAAGACAGTATGGTACCATTTGGATGCAATGTTTTTCCATACATGTGTCTGTGAGGTAACGACAGCAGTAATATTTGATTGATTGCAGCATAAATTACATATGAATTGGGTAGGAACCAGGACTGGGTGCTCGATTTATGCATCGTAAAATAAAAAACATGTTGGTCTGGTGTTCATAAATTGGGTTTGAGGACTAATGCTGTGTTCACTACATGTATGCTACTACATATAGAAGCTTTTGGATGATTTATATAAGCTGTGGTTATTTCTAATGTTCATTTTAGTAAGTACAGGCTATGTGGTAATGCTGTCTGCCAAAAAAAATCACTCGTAATAATTACGTTGTAATATCCCCGTGCAAAACTAATTGTGTCTAAATGGTACTATACAGGGATGTTGTATTATAAACGTTTTAAATAGGTCACTTCAGATTACTCAAATCTGGATCTTTAACTTGGAACAGAGACAATTAACTTGTTTGTTTATCCCTCCCCCCTTTCCAAGGTTACAACAACCAGTCAAATTACAGCGCACAAGGAACCAACCAGAGTTACAATGCCAACTCAGCTCCATACCACAACACTGGAGTGGGCTACGGCCGCGGGGACCCCAGCATGAACTACCAGTACAGATAGACTGAACCCCACTCAAATGTGCACCTGTCATCCCCCTTTTTAGCTTGTACGTCTTTTCTGAAGTAGCAGCGGCAACTGTCCTCACCATCAGCTTCAGTTTATTTTGCCCAGGGGCACAAACCGAAAACTGGACTTGGGGAGGGAGGGACCTTAAAGAACCTTAAGTGTTCTAAACTTCTGTGCTGAATGATCTGTTCTGTGGTCTGTTAAATGTGTGCTTGTGTTTTTCTTACACTTCCCCACAACTACTGCCCAAAGGGGAGAGAACCACCCCAACTCACATGCATGTTGAAGACCTGATGTTCATAAATTTCATGACGTTAACACAAATTTCCTTTTTATTTTTTCAGCTTGTTTGTCACTAAGTGATTTTTAGTTTTTAGATCTTTTGGTCCCCCAAAATAATTTCTTTGCCTGTCATTGTAGTGTTTTTTTGGTGGATATACTGCAGTGCTTTTATTTCTACCAGTTCTTTAGACATAATTGTGAAAGGTGTGAAGCTTCAGTTCAGGTCTTAGTAGCATTTGATGTGCTTTGGGATGGGGAACTTTTTATTTTTCAGGACATTGTTTAAGAATGTACGTTGTTTGTATGAATAAAGACAAGACTTTTATTTTGGAGGAAATCCATGCTCACAAATTACGTGTTTGTGTGTTGCAGTTGTCTTTTCTGAATAACAGTCTTTAACTTTGCAGTTCTATGTTCAACTCTAATGCACTCAACATAGAAAGACAGCAGAACAGACTGTCCAACTGTTTGTCAAATAAATGAACAGTTAAGCATCTGCTTAGAATACTATATTATTATTTTTACTGCTGTTTTTAATTTGTTTGTGTAATCTGGGGTTGACTGGCAGGAAAAACCTCTTTAGAGCTGGAAGAAGAAACTGAGGAGACTCCAAAGGGAAACTACGCTGCTTCTGGACAATTATATTAAGATAGTTGTTAATATTTATGAGTGTACTTAATTCATATCAAGTGCAAATCTGCCACATAAGCTACTGACTTTTGTCAACTCTTGGGACGAGCATTTTTCATTCACATAAACTTTATCAGTGCTTCCAATCCTAAAAGTAAAGAATTGATCTTTGGATGAAAATATAGATACTTTTGGCGCAAAACTGATTTTATCCTTTTAGACACAGTACCTCATGAACATGGCTTGTACCTCATATTCAGCAGGCAAAGAATTCTCCACGAGGGGGCGATAGGCCTCTGAGCTTGGGTGTCACTTGTCGGCAGATTGTTCTATGGGAGATATTAATTGTTTTTTAAATAAATAATTAATTAATTGACCTCCATCGTTCCCTGTTGCAAACTAGACATATTTTGTCTCATCCCTTTTTTCCCTCAGAATGTCACTGGATCCTCTGAATTACTTCAGTCGTTTATCATTTGAAATACGACTTGTGCTACGTAACTTAACGTTACAGGCTACAAGCAAAAGTTGCCGTGGTGTCGTTGCACAAAAGTAAGTCTGTTCTATCCAGCTACTCAAACTGTAAGTTACTAGTGCCAAAGCATCTCAACTACCGTGTTTGTCAAAGTTTGGTGTGATGGTTTGTGTGGGGTGTTTTGCTGAGGTTGCCTGTCCTCTGATGGCAGTTCAGTGCACTGCAGTGCTGGCTTGCTAGCTCACATGTACCAGTGTTTGTATTTCGCTTTCTTGATGACCTTGTAATTCAGAGGATGACATTCGGAGGAAAAGCTCTGCCACAGGGCACAACAGGACTGATTACCTAAAATCCAATCTCATTCCTCCATAGAGAAATCAGCTTTCCTCATGTGGTGTGATGAGGTCGCTCAAGTCGTTTTTTATTGCTAAAAAATAAATGAATAATAATAAAAATGATAGCTTTAGTTCAGTGACACTGTATGTCTGTGAGTGTGTCTTTGATGCTGAAAGAGTAAGAAAATGATAGTAGCATATAAATGTTAGATAGAATACTTTTCCTTCTGCCCTCTGCTCATCACACATACAGAGGCACAGCCAGCAACATGAGATGGACGAAATGCTCTAAAACGACAGGTCATAAGGAGCTATTTCACCCCACCATACTGAGCCCCTAAGCTGATATTGTGATTATAAGGCGTGGCCACGAATTAATATATTGAGGCCACAAGTTAGGTTTCTTACATTTCGTGTCCACAGTATATTAATTGTGGCCTCAGTATTGTTATTTGTGTTCTCAGTAATTTGTGGCCTCAATATTGTGGCGTCCTGCCACTGATGTGCTGTAGGGGTGCGGGAGGCGTGGCCATGCCAAGCGGTAGGACAGAGACTTGAATGTATTCTTTTATTGTTGCTGTGGACGTTACTGGTGCAGCAGCGTTGGTTGTCTTATTTTGTGTTGGGTTGTGGGGTAGTTGGGTAAGTTCCTAGTATAAAGGAGAGTTGTGTGGTTGGAAGTAACCTCCCTGCTTCCTGAGGGCATCAGATAGCGCTGAGTGGCGGTTTTTGCCACCTGCTCAATAAAAGAGCATTATCCTTTAAACTGCAATGTTTTCCCCATCTTTCTCGTTGGCGCTACAATATTGTAAATTGTGGTCTGAGTATATTAATTTGTGTCCATGCTTTATTTACAAAACAAGCACATTGTCACCTTAGGGCCAGTAGTCAGTATACATGTCAGCTTGTTTGATAGCCTAATAATGCAAGAAGAATCCTGCTACCCCACCCTACAGATAGAAGTATCAGAATACTAGCTTTGGTATTACTGGGTATAACATGGAAAAAATGTGGTAGCGTCGCTCTTCTCTGGTTGTTGGTAACACAGAAACTTACGGTAAATGACTGCGGTCGTCGTTGCCCTTCTACAGTGCTGTTTAGGGTAGTCAGCGCCACAGACGTCACTTCCGCTTTCTTTCAGCAAGGCGAGCAGCGCTGAGCATGGCGGACAGCGGGCTGTTAGAGTCGGTTTTACGGCTTGTGGAGAAGGTAGACGGCGGCGTTGACAGTCAGGATGTGGCCGGTAGTCTCAGCGTGGACCACCAAGTGGTCGTCGGGGCCGTAAAGAGCCTGCAGGCCCTCGGAGAGGTGAGTTCTCCCTCCGGCTCTGAAGGGAGATGCTAGGCTAACTGGAGCTCACTCGCTCCGGGTGGACTGATGCAACAGCAGCGCAAATGTGATTCATCCGCTGCGCGCTGTTGGAGGAAATAAGCTTTAATTCATAAAAATATGGGCAGTGTGCGGTCTGTACGTGAAGGATACTGGACACTGGATATCTGTAACAGACACGGTGTTAACTGCGAATTGTGAAAAGTGTTTGCTGCTGAATGAATGACGGCGGTTTGTGTTTTAAGCAGATTTACAAGTCATCTTCAGTGGCGTCAGTATGATAGCTGAAATGTCGAATGTTATTTACATTGACGTGTACTATGTGCCCAAAAGTGTCCAGACAGCCTTTCTATTCAGTAAAATCCATTAATTCTGACAAAGGCGTTTAGTTGCGCACACACAGCTGTAGTCTTCATATCATTGTCAGTAGAGTGGGACACTCAGGAGCCGCTGCACATGAGTCTCTGATCCAGCATCAGTACCTGAGCTCACTGAAGCTCCACAGATCCTCCCTGTGGATGAGGGATGGGAGGAGCGAATGTGTGTATACTGTTATGTTTTGTGACTGCAATAACCTGACCATCGCATCTAGCTTATCTCTTTATCTGATGTCCACAGGTTATAGAGGCGACACAGCGTTCTTCCAAGCACTGGGAAGTGACTGGAGAGGGAAGTGAGATACTTGAGCAGGGAAGCCATGAGGCCAGAGTTTTTAACGCCATCCCAGAAGAGGGTCTGCCCCAGAGCGAGCTCATGGTGAGAAAGAGGAAAAGCTTGTTTAAGCAGTCGTGACATCTGTAATTGGCTCTCTGAGCTGGGCTATCTAGGTTTAGTTGACTATGATTCTGAAAAGCTTGGGGAGCATTCAGCCTCTTCCACCCTGGGATTCTCAGATCTTTCCAAAAGGCTTATTGGCCCTGTTAAAGATGTGAGGTATATTAGTACAGTTAAATTAGTAATGTATGCTAAAGTAAAAGTTCTTATATCCATTGATTACATTTATACCAAAGGGCTTCATATCAGGACCGTGAATCCAGTTTTGGTTCTAAATTTTGTAATCAAACTATTGACGTAACTTATTTGACGCCTACCAGCAATTACCAAATCCAGGACTGGAAACTGGATTCAAGGTCCTGATTCAAAAATGTCTGAAACATGCTTAAGTAAGTACGGTTCAGAAGTAATGAATGAAAGTAATCTTATCAAAGAATCAATTCAAAAAATAAATAACATTTGTGTATGAAAATGAAAAAATTAAGCATTGCTACATCTGTTGTAAATGTGCCTACTTCACGTTCTCCAACTGTGATGCCACAATATAGGGCTGGGTGATATGGAAGAAATAGCATCAAAATACTCAAACATTTTTATGATACACTATACATATCACAATATTTTGACAGTGACAAAATGTGCCACTAGTGCCACATTTAAAAACTTTGAATATAATGATTGGTATTTAATCATTTCACATAGTGCACTGCATTAAATTCGGTTAAACAGGACTGATTATGTTCTCTTTCTAATGAAACATGCAGTTGTTCATTGTTCTTTAAATTCTGGCGATGACCATGGTATGCTCAGTGTTGAGGGAGTTCCCAGTGTTGTAAAACACATTTACACAATGCTGCTGGGTACTGTAGTGAGGGAACACTGATGGAGGGAAACGCAGGAAAGATATAAAACATGAACCCTGTCAAACTGATGAAAGGCTGAGAGAGACAGTGCTGCACCTCAGAGATTCTGCACCTCAGAATACTACATAATGTGACAAATAACATATTTAATGCTAGTTCTAGGCTGGAATCCCCTTTTAAGTGCTTGTAACTTAAATGTGCTTCTTGTCCTCTAGAAACTTCCCAGTGGTAAAGTGGGCTTCAGTAAGGCCATGTCCAACAAATGGATTCGTCTGGATAAAGGTCATGAAGGAGGACCTCGTGTTTTCAGAATGGTGGGTTTCTGCATTAATATACAGTTCAAGTAAATTGAAGACGCACCTAATCCAACTCGAATTCTCAGTCTTATGGTCATTGAGACACATTTGCCAGTGTTTTACCGTTGCTGTCCTGCAGGTGAACAGCATTGAGGACACTGTGAGGGAGAAGCTGCAGCAGGTGAAGAACGGCCAGTCTTCTCAGCTGGAGGAGAAGGAGAAGAATGAGCTGAAGAAACGAAAACTTCTCACAGAAGTGTAAGAAGTGCATTTGTTGTTTTACAGCTGGTTATTGTAGCTTTGAAACCAGCATCTTTAATAGAAATGTTTTCTGGGAGACTTTTGGAACATTATCTAAAGCAGGGATGCTCATCTCTGGTCTTGGAGGGTTGGTGTCTAAGCTTGAAAAAAAAAAAATAAATCGCTCTGTTGTTGGTTTTAATCAGTTTGATTTATATTACTTATCAGAAGCATGCAAGTTAGAGAAACTGAGTCATTTGAGTTGTTGCAGTGAAATTAAGTGAGTTCTCAGATTTAGTTCATAAGTGTTTGTTTGTTTGGTCAGTGTAATCTAGTTGAGTAAAACTCAGTGTCTTTCCCATTGGCTCCTGGTATCCTCTATTTGCATTTTGTTTTACTTGTTTAACTCACC